GGTCTATCGTAAAACCGTTGGCTGGTGCAGTGTAGGTCAGACTCAACTACAGTCACGACAAATTTCATGGTGATCGGTGCAGCCGTAATTGTGCTACGGTTGACCAAAAATCTCCCGAGGGGGGAAAATAAATAAATAAATCAGTACGAAAACAATATGACTCCTGCTTACGCTTCACATGCGGGGGTCATAAATATTGTTCAAACTATCATTAGGACATGATGATACTTGATAGGTGTTCTCTTGTGAAGCTTAAACTCATTCACAATTTACACAAGTAATCTAGTCTTGCATGGTATGATAAAACAGATGATATGACAGATATTCCAACTGGATTTTGGAAATTATTTTTGATCAGTTATGGATTGTCACTTAATGAGAAATGTCAATGTTCTGCTCTTGTCATATATTAAGGACCGGGATGATAATGACCCATTCTGCAACGTTGACATTGGGATCCTCCTTGTTGAACCTGAAGGCGCTGACCCCTCATCTTCCCTGCATCTCAGTCCATCTTCACTGAAAATTATCATTGAGGGAGAAGCAGTGATGGACAACATTCAAGACCTGCCTAAAGCTATGTGCATTCTCTTTGGACTAATATATGCCATGCATCTCAACTACCCCAGATCAATGAAGTACACTTTCCAGTTCATCCAACAGGTACTTCTTGAGCTGGGCCACAGTGAACTAAAACCAAAGTTACAGACTTTGAAAAACCAGCTTGCTATGTAAAGAAATATTGCCTTGTGTCAGTGAACAGTCAAGGCATCCCCCTGCATAGTCCNCCAAGACTGCAGAGCCAACTGATATTCGAACACTGGTGCTCAGAGGACTTCCTATTATCCTTGGTGACAAACCCACAGACTTCTTCAAACCAACCTTTGTAAGTAATTTTACTTTCTCATAGATATCTAAAAAACAATATCAGCTCAATCTTGAATTTTCACTTTTATATGTGGTTTTCAGTGGTCTTTGAAATTCTTGAAGGTCTGTAAGTTTGAGGGGGGAAATCAATGCCTGAAAGCATTTGAAAATGCACAGACACATGACTCAGTGGAAGTACTTGAATTAAAATTTTGTGCTATACATATATTTATTTTGCAAAAATATTTTGCAGGCATGTTGGATGGGCTTTTTATCCACACTCATATTTGAATTATTTATATAAATATCGGTCATGCAAAACCAACCAAACTCCACTTGTTTTTTTAATTCTTTTTTTGAAAACAATAGCTTCTCTTCTACTTCTGCCTTGATTTGTTTGATTATTATTATTGTTATTTGATTGGTTTGGATTAATTGAAATCACACAATAGTACAAACTAACAAATCAAGGACATGATAAATTTGCAACTTATGTTTTGTGTGTTAAAATTACTAATTTTGCATTTATTGGCATATTAGGGCCATTTTGCAGATAAAGACTAAATCTCCTCCAAAAAACTACAAAATTTTGAGATAGTAGACATTTTTGAGAAATAACAACAGGAAATTCCCTCATGTAGAAAAGTTGGAAATTTGTGAGAAAAAACTCAGAAGTTTCCATGATTAAAGACAAACATTTTCAATAATTAAACTAAATATTTTCTGCCATTGTAAAGTCAGAAATTTGTCAGGAAAAAAATGAAGTTTTGACTAGTGGCTTAAGGGTAATTCCACCTGTTTTCACTACCTTGAGCCTCTTTAGTCTGCTCTAGTTTAAAAACTAAAACACTTCAAACCTGGACTAGATTATTCTACACTGATTGCAGAATATTTGTGAAACGTATATTTGAAATGTGTAACTTCAATATAGTGCGATTTCAGCACGTTTTGCATTTTATTAACACATTAAGCATGGCCAGATGGAGAGG